TTTTGTTCTGTCCCATTTTTTGTTCTCACATTTTAAGCCAGTTATATTAAATTAAAAAATAATTCACGATTTACTACAATAGTTAAGATACTTAAGAGTTAAGAATACAATTTTTTACTTTCTGTTTTTAATTTTAGCTCAACCATCTTCTTGATCTAGTGAGTAATGTCCAATTCTCTAAAAATACGAATTATAGTTTAATAAAAATAAGTTTACTAATGTTTTTAAAAAAACTATCAAATATCTTCAATATTATGGTGTATTTAAAATATATTGTCATGATCATGTGTGTTAAAGACTAAAATTGTCGATCGCAAACATGTTGTATATAAATTGTAAAATCATTAGTAATATGATAACAAAATATAATATCTGGTAAAATAAATCTAACGAGACGGAAGCAAAAGAAAAACAGTATTCCATTCATTTGTCTGTTGTTGAAACCAACATTATTTGATTATCATAATTACAATGCTAATAAAACTAAAACGTCGTTTCATAATAAAATAAGAGTATCTAAACGATAATGCTTAATATTTATAACTTTTGATGCTATACACACGAGTATCATATAAACGCATACGTGAAATCAACCTAACTAGTCACATTATGCATGTTGCTCTATCCATTCTCTGTCTTGTCTTCTCAATCAACTGCTCCTACCTATAACAATTTATTGAACCAAACCGGCCCACCGGTTCACTACCTTTCTCTCAAGCAAATGCGATATTTCAATTCCCAAGTACTGCAACTATTACTGAATCAGAAAATTAAAGAAAAATGAAGCAAGTGGCTATTGCTCTATACAGTTGAAAATAAATAGATTTATTCAATACATCATATTCGTGTCGATAGATTCGGTCGTCAAACTGTAAACCAGACTTAACCAGAAATATATTACCCGATAAATTAATACCAACTTTGGCATGTATTAATTTTTGGTTGACTTTTTAATTAAGTATTGTCACATCGATCCAGCTAAGTTTTATATAAATCACGCTACTCAGTTCTCTTAAATTCGAATTAATTAACCGAAAAAATCGAGATAAATCGGATCAACCGGTTTAATGTTGGTTCCATATAGCTTTTAGGATTTCTAAAAACCCAACACCACCTTCTTTGATCAATTGCACGATGGACATAACTACGTAGCTAGGTAAACCTAGCAATCTAATTCGCATAATGAAAGTCGTGGGGATAACCAAACTTAACCGAAATTTCGAGAACCGATCGGTTAAAACAAATTTTATGTTCTTAAACTTTTCTTTTCGGTTGGGATTATTAATGTCACCGCGCTTGCTTCGACTTCCTATATATACATACACTTGCAAGTGCAAATACACAAATAGTCATCTTCTCTAAAATTATCAATATTAATTATCTTAAATTCCAAAAAAAAGAAAGAGAGACAGTGATGAAACAAAAGAGCAAAGGTGGAGAATCTGCAGCTGCAGCTGCATCATGTTTTCTTGTCATGAGCTTGTTATGTAGCTGCATTATTGGCGACCAAATGGAGACTAACTACGAAGGCTTATCTTACAATTACTACGAGAAAACATGTCCAAAACTTGAAGAGATCGTGAGATCTTCACTTTCACCGATGTTTGTAATTGATCCTAGTTCTCCTGCTGCTTTGCTTAGGCTTATGTTTCATGACTGCCAAGTTCAGGTTCTCTATCTCACCTACATCAATCTCTCTAATTAATTTTTTTTATCAATTATGTGGCTTTGAAACGTGCTAATTATCTCAAATGGTTTTGGGTTTAAAAGTGTTAATTAATTATTTAAGTGAATAGACATATCATGATTCATGGATCATGATCATATATTACGTTGGTTGTATATGTGTACGATCATGCCGTCTTTAAAGATGCCAAAATTGGCCACTCCTACATTATCTCTGGGTTAATTGAAAAAGTTTCAAAAAAAAAAAAAAAGATTTTTCTGACATGATGAATTTGATATTCTTTATGTTTAATGTTTTTTGC